CTAAACTAAACTAACTTTATTTATACTGGATAGCTCTATCAGTTCTAAACTGTTCTTCCTACTGAGGTCCAGTAAGTGTCATCTCTTATTGATCCAGTGTTACTACAGGGGGAAATCTAAACTAAACTAACTTTATTTATACTGGATAGCTCTATCAGTTCTAAACTGTTCTTCCTACTGAGGTCCAGTAAGTGTCATCTCTTATTGATCCAGTGTTACTACAGGGGGAAATCTAAACTAAACTAACTTTATTTATACTGGATAGCTCTATCAGTTCTAAACTGTTCTTCCTACTGAGGTCCAGTAAGTGTCATCTCTTATTGATCCAGTGTTACTACAGGGGGAAATCTAAACTAAACTAACTTTATTTATACTGGATAGCTCTATCAGTTCTAAACTGTTCTTCCTACTGAGGTCCAGTAAGTGTCATCTCTTATTGATCCAGTGTTACTACAGGGGGAAATCTAAACTAAACTAACTTTATTTATACTGGATAGCTCTATCAGTTCTAAACTGTTCTTCCTACTGAGGTCCAGTAAGTGTCATCTCTTATTGATCCAGTGTTACTACAGGGGGAAATCTAAACTAAACTAACTTTATTTATACTGGATAGCTCTATCAGTTCTAAACTGTTCTTCCTACTGAGGTCCAGTAAGTGTCATCTCTTATTGATCCAGTGTTACTACAGGGGGAAATCTAAACTAAACTAACTTTATTTATACTGGATAGCTCTATCAGTTCTAAACTGTTCTTCCTACTGAGGTCCAGTAAGTGTCATCTCTTATTGATCCAGTGTTACTACAGGGGGAAATCTAAACTAAACTAACTTTATTTATACTGGATATAGCTCTATCAGTTCTAAACTGTTCTTTCTAGAGGTTCAGTAAGAATCATCTCTTATTGATCCAGTGTTACTACAAGAGGAATTAAATCTAAACTAAACTAACTTTATTTATAGTGGGTAGCTCTATCAGTTCTAAACTGTTCTTCCTAGAGGTCCAGTAAGGATCATCTCTTATTGATCCAGTGTTACTACAGGAGGAAACTCAGGAGTACGTAGACAAAAGCTGTGTTGCTTAAATATGCAAATTAATTCACACTTACCTTTAGACAAAAAAACTACTTATACTTTAATTCACACAAACAAAAAATGGATGAACCTGGATTTAAACCTTTTAACGACTTACCTTTAGAATCACTATTTGTGAAGGAACTATATCAACTTTGAGTCCATGCTGGGTTAGAGATTTATGTTTATATGCATTTGAAGACTAAAAATAAGAAGAAAAACGTTTGCTATTAAAGACCTTTAAAAGCATTTAAGATGAAAGACTTCACGAGGGAGACAAAGGATAAGAAGGCGTGATAAAGAAGATTATGGAAAAGATTGGATTGATTGAAAATGCTGCAATTAGCTTTCATATACATATACAAAGAGTGACTTACCAACATGAGTAAGACTTCAACATATTTTTCAGCTTCACTGTCGCTATCAAACTGATCTCGCACAGTTTTATCCAAGACCACTAACGTCTCTATGTACGCTTTTATATCCGTGTCTCTTTGACCTGAAAAAGACGAAATTAATATAGGACAAAGAATTGAAAGTTTTTTTATGTTGTTTTTGTCATGTGTTTATGCCATCCAATGGAACTTATGGCATGTAGTATTCCGATAACTCACACTGGCCTAGTAGTAGTTACCACTGTTCTTAGTAATGTAAGCATAGAATAGAACAGGTAACCAAGGTAACCAAGTATTTAAATTATATATGTGAGTGAATTGATAACTCACATGCCTAGTTACCAGTGTTCTTAGTAATGTAAGCATAGAATGGAACAAAGGTAACCAAGCATTTAAATTATATAGGTGGGTGAATTGGATGCAATATGACTTGAAATAATACTGAAAATAAAACAGATAATCTTCTAACCATTTCGTTTTATGATACAGACAGCTCTGGTGTCCTCTGTGTTGACTTTAGGTCTGTATTTCTTTTTATTATTTATCACAAAAACTTCATTCGTTTCCGCGTCCGTTGCTCTCCATTTGTCGCTAACAAACGTATTTATTTCAATTGTTTTATGCGCTCCAAGTTGTACAAATTTTTGCCACTGTTTTCCACGGCGCCACCATAACTGTCAAGATATTTGCAAATATTTTAGTACAACCTGCATTCGTTGTTGGGAAAGTATTAAGGTACAGCTAGGAGAAATCTGTATGAAATGTTTTCCTGTTTCATTTGCCATATGCGAGCCCCTACGATTATCTCTGCTCGAATCCGCCCAGTTTCAATGTGCGTAAACGCACACAGGCCAAAATCGTCTATATTGCGTTCATTTTTGGCTCATCTCATAGTGAGACGTAATTACAGTAAATTGTACAAAAATTTAGAGCATACCTTTTATTAATGGTGTCATGGTGGGTTTCATTAAGCGTTAGTTAACTGCAGATGCTAGGATTAGCGCGTATATATAGCTTTGAATAGCTCTGAAAGCTTTGAACAACCGCCCCTGGTTGATTGACGACCATTTGCTGAACGACAGTAGGTGAATGAAACCCACTACGCAGTCGACAGTATTCCTATGGGGACGACTATGACTTTACTTTGATTTATTTTTGTACCTGAACTGTGCGTCCACTCCTGTTGTCAAAAAAGATATAGCTACTTTTTGATGAACGTCGCGCTCTACTGTGAACATCGCTCGTCGTATCTAAAACAACAAATTATCGGTTTAATTAATGTTTTTAGTCGAAATCGGTTAAAAAATGTTTTGGAATCGTACAAATATTTGTTTTGCCTAGTGCAAAATAATAATCCTTAATCTCAAGGTGTTTATAATCTATAAGAGGACAACAAATTATCAATACAATATTCATCAATTCATGGCTTACGCAAATCATGCAAAAATTAACGCGCAATCGCACACAATATCAAATGCGTCGTGATCTTTCTCACCTTGTGATAACCTTGAACTCAACGACGCTTCTCTTTTAATCTGAAAAAGGGAAATGTCTGTTAGGCAATGACACCATTTTAGAGGAATATAACTAAAAATATAAATATAAATGATGCGGTACAGTCCGATCTGCGCATGTGCACAAAGGAGCCCTCTTTTTATTTACAAACAGTTTATTTAGGTTTTTATTTCATTTTATGTTCTTGCAAAGCTTGATCGTTGTCTCTTGATAATTTAGTATACTCTAGAATCATGAAAATATTAATAGTTGTCGAATAAAATTCAATATTTTGGATACCGAAATGTAAACAAAGCCTTTGTTTACATACGGACTGTACCGCATCTTTAAAATATCTCTTCTAAATAATAAAGACAAATACCCTCCACACAAATAGATTACGACACTGTTGACAAAAAAAATACGAAATACACGACGTTTGCTAAATAACGATATATTGCATCACCTTCGAAAATGGAGTCTATTTATCATTAAGAGCGCTTTTCGATTGACTTTTTCCATTCGCAGTTTTTAGATTCAAGCTTTATTATCGCTGAACGCTAACGTTCACAACCAGTGATATAGTGTGAACTAGCGGATCAGTTGATCAACTGTAGAATTTGAAAATTTATGTATAAATATTATCCAACAAAATGACTTTATAAATACACGTGTTGTCTGTTGAGTTGCGAAAATTTATGAGCCAAAGTCATTCATGCGCATCGTCTGCGCATGGGCAGTTGTACAACAGTTCGCAAGTCCGGAATTTCGCTGTGATCACGAGTTTGCAGTAATTCATGTAAACCACAATTATTTCGCCGATAGGATAATAGTCGATAATTAGATAACCAAGTATTCAAAGAACATGGCAACGACATAAAATACAATTTGAATGTATTAGACTACAATACAACAAAGTTGATGGGGGACAAATGTTCGATATCATTCTTGAAAACAGCAAATTTCGAGCACACAATCAGCATTGTTGATTTATCCCGCTGATCGTGGATTACTTCCCCGCATATCGCCATGTTATTTTTATTAATCCCACTTCCTCGATGGAATGAAATCCCACTTCCCGCCAATATTTCTCTTAAAATCCCGAATCCCACTTAGACGCATCCCGCCATCCCGCAAAACAGGTACAGGCCCCTCCTATATGTTTGCTCATGAACAGACGAAAGTAATATTTACATTGAGTGCATACCTTCAAAAGCTTGTCAATGGAACCTTCAACAGAGAAGATTACACACACAGCAAACAGCAATATTACCAAACGATCCATCGTCACTCCAAGCTTCTTCAGTCCTGTGCGTTCAAGCTGACTCTCTTGCGTTCTCAAACTTGTGGAGCTACGGATCTCACATTCAGCCTTATATGCGCGCAGATCTATTAGTTTCACTAGTTGTGAGGGTATCGTGTTCCCGAATTTCTGAAAGCATCGGAATCATGGAATTAATTATAGGTCACTGGGCGGGGAAGGCGCATTTCGGCATCAGGGCATGTGTTTACTCGGTCACGTAGCTTAGACATTGTAGATTACTACCCACACTAGAGCCCCATGTTTGAGAGATAAAATACACGTACGAGATAATTTTTTCAGATGTAGTTCAGATACAAGCCCCGACAATGATGGGTGGAACCCAAGGATGATCAGACCTGAGTGTCGTCTGGTTTATATCCACCTTCACTGACCGTGTCTGGTCAGTGACTTTTTTTTCTTTTTTTCTTTTTTCTTATTGTACTCTTTATGGGCGGCGTCTCTAGCCGGATAATTGAACTTGTCAATTTGTTAAGACGAACAAATGACAAAAAAAGAACAAATATTATATACTAGTTTCACATATTGCATAAATGCATGGTCAGGTTTATAAAAGTATCGATAATGCAATGTTTTGATATTGTTTTGGGAAGTACTGATAATGGGAAGTTTTGATTCGATTTGAAAAACATATGTTGAAGCCGCAACGTCGAAGCTTCTGATTACACGAATCAAGTCTGGAAGCCCAGCAAACGTCAAAGCCACAAAATAGAAGACTTTTGGCTTTGATTGATCAGTGAACTGTATCTCACCATGCACAAATCCTTTGTCTCATGAACTTCATTAAATATTATTCATCGTGGTTGCACGTTTCATTAATTAAGGCCATTTTCCACTAGGCGGAATTTTGCGCGCGGAGCGGAATTTCCTTTTGTCTTTTCTAATTAGTTCCAGCTGAGAAATCACAAGACAAAAAGAAATTCCGCTCCGCGCGCAAAATTCCGCCTAGTGAAAAACGACCTTTATACGAAAATCAGTACAATATGATCTCAACTTCACCTTGCACAAATTAACATAAACTCCGACAAGAACATAACTACTTCTGTTTTAGTTTCCGTTATCATGTCTACCTTTTGATACCGCTGACAATTCTTATATGTCGCCATTCAACGCAAATTCACTGCATGTCAGAATTGTATACCCTAACGGCAGGGTCTGTGATTGGGAAATTTCATATAATGGGAAGTTAGTAAAACCAGTGTTGAAGTTTCTCACAACACCAATTAGCACTAAAGAGCAGTATGGACCAGAAAGCTTGGGATTGATAGGGATATAACTAGCTGAAAAATACACGCAAAATTTCGACGTTTCGAGCGAAGCCCCGCTTCGTCGGGAAGTGAGAATTCACCAGCATATGGTGGCACTGCCAGATAAGATCAATAGTGTTATCCCCCCATCTGGCGGCGGAAGTAATTAGTATTGAGGGTGGGGTTAGAGGTATGAAGTCATATTGCACACGTACGCAGTTGACATTATTTTGCGCATGTGACATCATTTGATTAGGGGATATGACGTACGTACGCGTTCATGCAGAGTTCATCAGATGCATGCAGAGATTTTTTGGACAAAAACTTTTTATTCAACTTTGAGAATACAAATTTATAACGTAAATAGATTAACTTTATAGTTCTTTTATTTTATAGTGTTTTTTTATTGAGAATGTTCAGCGATCCAAAAAGGTCAAACAGGCCAAAACGGCCGAGCATGTCGGGCCCAAGTCGACTTCTGATAATATCTATCTATCAGTCTTACACACCCGATGACATAAAGGTTTTTGCTTCGCAAATCCTTAAAAAGTATAAATACCCCAAACAGAAACTACAGTTTAGGACAAAACGCTTGAGACCATTTCTCGAATCAAAATACAAACATTCAACATTTCAAACACCATCTCCCCCGCTGGTGCAATATTGCGAAACAACCACGGCTATGACGCAAACTCGACAGTCAGTGGAAGAATAGTGCATGGGTGTTTAATTAATAAAAATCACAATATGTTAGTACAACATGGATTTATGATCAGCCTGATAATGGAAGACAGTCTCAACTGAACAGCTTTGTTACAGCTGCTGTCCATGACTGTGGCCGATACTGCAGTTACATCAAATACCGCAATTTATAAAATTCTGAGACATTAGATTTATTCTGAGACCTTGACCAGCTTGACGCATATTATGCGAGGATTTATTCTGAGACCTTGACGCATATTATGCGAGAATTTATCCGAGACATAGGGATATAGATAGAGACATATAGACAAAAATACATTTGTTTTCAACGAAACAGGAAAAACAGTTTTGGGAAAACAAATGCTCGAAATTATATACATTATCCTTTAATCCCATATATAGATATTTTCACAACGGCTTTGACAAACAATTTGGATTTGACGTAGTTTGTTTTTGAAAATAGGAAAGAAAATACTTGCTATTAAAAGTTCCATGCGTGACACACTGACATACAAAATCTTTTTACGCAAGAAACAGTATAATGATATTAAATTAAATTCTTCAAAGACTTAAACTGAAGGCGACCATCCTTAATTGTGTATTGACGGTATGAATTCTGTGGCTTTTACGAAATATTCATATTATGTCATGTAGTCGAATAACTAACCATTCGGACATTCGGCGGATATCCAGAACTGCGCATTTCATGCTAATTATATCACATATCCAATCCGCGTAACATCCGATCCAGACAACAAAGTTCAATATTGACGAAATTTTATGCTAATTAATTAAGATCACACATCCGGTTAACCGGTTGCCATCATTTCCTTTGTTTACAGCTCATCAATTATTCATGATTTTAGATCCATATTTGATCATTATTCGTAAGCACCTTGCGTGCTCAAGAGTATAATTGACTTGCCATTTTAGGATCGCTTTGAGAATGCATTCCATCACATCAGACGTGATGTTAGAATTGTGTAGCCGTGTTTTGTCTTTCAATACCCAAAATTGAGCAAGCGTAAATTGGCGATGCTTAAGAACTAAGTGCCAATGACAATGAGTTTATGCTACAAACGTGACAAATTTGGCGTCCTATGTTATTGCTTATATTACATTTGTAATATAAGCAATAACATAACCTCAAAACCTTCAATAAAATATTACTATCAAGAATATGGTCAATTTTTGTTTCTGAAGTTCACTGACGTTCACACCGTTTTATAATTTCCCCTAACTAGTAGGAAGTGCTTTCAATTGTTTTTCTAGGACTTGAACAGTATTTTTACGTATACATGTAATTTTAAAATCAACATTTTAGTAAAAAAAAAACGCACTGAATACAACCACATGGAATATCTAAATATTGTGCGTCATTTACAGGGAACACATTTTAAACATCATGCAGTGAAATACGCGTCACAAATTTCAATTATATCAACCGTAGCTAGTTCATGTGACGGCGGTGACGCTTTCTTCATTACGAAAGTTAAAAACCCAATTACCCAAAGCAAAGACGCACAACATTTACCTTGAATACGGAATGCTGCGAGCTGAGGGTAGGTTTAAAAGACAATGAAACCATTTTGAATCTCAAATATATAGCTACATGGATGCGAAAAATACTGAGGAAAATGGAAGAAAAATGCAGTAAACTTTTGACTAGATTCGTTGTATGACATCACGAATATCAAAAAGCCAGCTCCTGAACACAGAATAGGAAGTTATACCAGAAGCGTAACTCTAGTCGTTTTCCCTTATTGTTTGACGTCCACGAAAATTTTAACTCGCTCACGTCAGGCCACGCCATCCTGGCTAGTACAGCCGGAAGTTTTTATCAGGATTTGGTAGGTACAAAGTGCCGGTTGTACTAGCCAGGATGGCGTGATTGATGACGAATCGCTTGTAAAAACGCGGACAAATATTTGCTCGAGTTATGCTTCTGGTATAACTTCCTATTCTGTGTCCTGAATGAGAGCGACCTGAACTGATACAAGAAGAACTTGGGCGTTTTCACGAAGGACCTGTTCGCTCGAAACGTATAGAAGTTCTGATTGTATCACAGTATCAGTTTCGGCTAGTTGCCGTGATACTTCAACAAAACGAACTTCAACAAAACGAATTTCAAAAAAAGATCCTATCCTATTTTCCCATCCATTTTTTTTTTAACTATCCAAGATAGTTGGAAAAGAATATAAAGAATGAATTCCAGAGAGGTAAGGTCCTTAAAAAAATAAAAATCGTCGCAGAACTCTTATCGGTTTAATAGGAACAGTCCCAAGTCCAAAACTCGTACTGAGGCCTTTAAAAGGGCCACCGGACCAGTACGACGACCGCCTGGCCTTATGGTCCAGAAAAAGGTCCCCCATAATGCTTTGCCCTTTCGTCTGACGCATGCGCAGTTGCAAACTCGCGATGGTTTGAAGACCTGTCGAAATTCTGGTTGAAAATCCGACGTCTATTATGTCTGAGGCGAATTCTTCAGCTGCTAATGCGTCTTCTGATGAAAATCAACAAGAAAATAACCAAATAGAGTTGTTACGGTTAAAAAATTCAAAAAATAATGACAGTTATAGCATGTGGAAAACGCCAGCGCGAAAAGTGCCCGCAAAGGTGAACGCCACCCGACCCTATCTTTCGCCGCCATTTTCACAAGAAATTTACAATCATTTTATCAGTTCGTTAAAAATTGGAGAGCCAGCTTATCCGACTACAAAAGAGCTACGGGACCTGCAGTTTTATACTAGCAAAGGAACTTCGCATCGAAAAAGGTTTAGAAGACTTTTGGCGGGTTTTGAAATTCATGTTGTCCAAGGCTCCCTCGTTTTCAGCCCAAATTTGGAAGAAGATGTTCTCGTCTACAAACGGACCGGGAAAATTCTCGTCAAAAAAGAGGTCGTGGAAAAAATTGTCCGCAGAGCACATTTGTGGGGAGATAATGAAGCGAATGGGGAGGAAATGGACGAAATTAACCACTATGATAATGGTACATTAACAATTAATAGAAATAAAATACTTTGTTTGAAATTCCCAGCATTAGAGTGCAGAAACTTGGCTTAGAGGTTGCATGTGTTTAATAGAAAAGTTGTTTAGGAAGTTATAGGCAGGCGAAACTGAATGACATACAAAGGGAGACGGTAAAATGTTATCTAAAGCCTCGTACAGACAAGCAAGTTTTCTTGACAAACTTGTGTACATGTGTACGTCAAAAAATGGACAGTTTTTCCTTGCCAGGCAGCTTTGTTCCAAAGCCAGTCGTGCTAGCTTTTGGACAAGGAAAATTTGTTCGTGTGTAAGGCCGCCAAGGAAAATTTGACAAGCATACAAGAAATATGTCTATGGTTTTGGAAAACAAAATGTGGCCTTGACGTGAGATAAATGTTTTGCAATAGAGAGGTTAAGATACCCCGGTTTCGGTGTACATGTACGGGTAGCATGATTTTGGTTAGCAATATTTTTGTCGATGTCTGTACCTTTACTTGTAATTAAGGGGCACATTTTTCGCATTATATCATTGTCTATTGCAAGAAAACAGAAAAAGTATGATCGAATTACAGACATCAGTAAAACAAGATGACACTACTCGTACCCGTACACCGAAACCGGGGTATCTTAACCTCTCTAATAGTTCATGCACACAAGAAACAAAACTTGTAACACAAGAGAAAGTGAACTTGTCGTGGGAGACGTTCTGCTGTAATG